ATCACCACCACCGGTACTATCACCACCACCACTTGTGTCACCACCAACCACCGTACTATCAACCAACCACTGGGACTATCATCACCACACCGACCGGTACTGTCCACCACCACCCCACCGGTAATATCACGACCCCGGTAACTATCACCAACACCACCGGTACTATCACCACCACCGGTACTATCACCACCACCGGTACTATCACCACCACCACTTGTGCTACACCACCACCACCGGTACTATCACCACCACCGGTACTATCACCACTACCACCGGTACTATCACCACCACCGGAACTACCACCACCATCGGTACTATCAACAATACCGGTACTATCACCACCACCGCTACTACCACCACCACCGGCACTATCACAACCACCAGCGGTACTATCACCACCTCCACCGGTACTACCACCACCACCGGTACTATCACCACCACCACCGGTACATCACCACACCGGTACTATCACCACCGAAATATCAACCACCACACCGGTACTATCACCACCACCGGACGATCACCACCACCCACACCCGATACTAGCACCACCACCATCGTACTAGCACCACCACCCCTAATATCCAGCCACCGACCACCGTGCTATCACCCACGACCAACCGGTAATATCACACCACCACCAAAACTATCAACCACCACCAACCGAGACTATCACCACGACCCTCCACCGTACTATCACCACCACCATCGATATTAGCACGCACCACCATTGGTGCTACACCAACCACCACCGGTCTAATCACACCACCACCACCGGATACTATCCACCACTACCGCCGGTATCTAGCAACCAACTCCATCGGTATTATCACCACCACCACCGGTACTATCACCACCACCACCGGTATACTATCAACCACCACCACCGGTACGATCATCCCACCACCACCGATACTATCACCACCACCGCCACCGGTACTATCACCACCACCACAGTAGTATCACCACCACCGGGTACGAATCACCAAAACACCGGTACTATCACCACCCACCGGTACTACACACCGGTAACTATCACCACCACTCCAAAACCGGTACTAATCACCACCACCATCGGACAATCACTACCACCGATACTAGCACCACCACCGGAACTATCACCACTACCACCGGTACTATAACCACCAACACCGGTACTAATCACCACCACCCGTACTATCAGCACCACCACCGTACTATCACGTGACCAACCACCCGTACTATCACCACCCACCGTGCTATCACCACACCAGTGGGGGGGGGGGGGGTGGGGGGGGGGGGGGGGGGGGGGGGGGGGGGGGGGGGGGGGGGGGGGGGGGGGGGGGGGGGGGGGATAATCAGTACTAACACCACCACCACACAACGGTACTATCACCGCCAGTACTATCACCACTACCAACCGTACTATCACCACCACCGGTACTATCACGCACCACATGTTACTATCACCACCAGCCACCGGTCTATCTCCAACACCAACCGGTATTGAACAACCCCCCGGACTATCACCACCACCACCGGTACTAGCACCACCACCGGTGGATACTCCACCACCACCGGGACTACATCCCACCACCAACCGGGACTATCACCACCCCACCGGTACTAATCACCACCCCACACCAGTACTAATCACCACCACCGGGTACTATCCACCAAAACCCACCGGTACTATCCACACCAAAACCACCGGATACTATCACCATCACCACCGTACTACACCGTACGATCACCACCACCGGTACTACACCACTACCATCGGTAAGACACTACCACCGTACTATCACCACCACGTACGATCACACTACCACCCGGTACTAATCACCACCACCACCGTACATCACCATCACCACCGGGACTATCACGGCTACTGGGACTATCCCCACCACCCCCACCGGTACTATCACCACCACCACCGGGACTATCACCACCCACTACCGTACTATACAACACCACCACCCACACGATACTATCACTACCACCACCGGTACTATCACCACCACCGGTACGACACCACCACCACCAGTAACGAACACCACACCACCGGTGCTCACCATACCACGACAGGTACTATCACTACCACCCACCGGTACTAATCACCACCTCCACCGGTAACTAATCACCACCAACCGGTGCGAATCACACCACCTCCGGTGCTATCACCACACACCTCCGTACTACACATCACCACCGGTACTATCCACCACCACCGGTACTATCACCACCACCCACCCGTACTATCAATACCACCCGTGCTATCACCACCACCAACAGGGACGATCACCCACCAACACCGTACGATCACCCCACCGGTACTATCCACTACCACCCCGGTAACTATCACCACCACCACCGTACTATCACCACCACCCACCGTACTAGCTACACCACCACCACCGGTATCTATCCCCACCCCACCGGTACCTAGCACCACCACCACCACCACCGTACGATCACAACCACCAACCGGTACTATCACCACCAACGTACGATCACACCACCACCACCGGTACTACACCACCACCCAACCGGTACTATCACCACTTCCACCGGTACTATCACCACCCCACCGTACTATCACCACCACCGTAATATCACCACCACCACCGGTACAATCACCACCGCCCAACAGGTACTATCACCAGCACATCGGTACTATCAAACCACCACCACCGTACATCACCACACACCACCGGTACGATCACCACCACACCGGAACTTATCCACCACCACCGGTACTATCACCTCCACCACCGGTAACTATCCACCACCACCGTACTATCACCACCACCACCGTACTTCACCACCACCGTTCTACACCACACCGGTACTATCACCACCACGTTTGTCGCTCATTACACAGAATGAACACTAAAACAGACCTTCTCTATCCAGCCTCCAATAACAATATTTTTCTTATTTCTATGTTACCCAAGTTATAGTTTTTATGTTACCCAAGTTATAGTTTTTATGTTACCAAGTTATAGTTTTTATGTTACCCAAGTTATAGTTTTTATGTTACCCAAGTTATAGTTTTTATGTTACCCAAGTTATAGTTTTTATGTTACCCAAGTTATAGTTTTTATGTTACCCAAGTTATAGTTTTTATGTTACACAAGTTATAGTTTTTATGTTACCCAAGTTATAGTTTTTATGTTACCCAAGTTATAGTTTTTATGTTACACAAGTTATAGTTTTTATGTTACCCAAGTTATAGTTTTTATGTTACACAAGTTATAGTTTTTATGTTACCCAAGTTTAGTTTTTTTTGTTACCCAAGT